CCGCTATTTGCAATAGCGTTTTATTCAGAATTGAAATCGCTATTTGTAATAGCGTTTTATTTATTAAAGCAATCAGAAAATGAAGCGCTATTCAGAATAGCGTTTTATAATTGAGGTCGGAAAGATAGCAAATGAAGCGCTATTCAGAATAGCGTTTTATAATTGAGGCTAAAATCGCTATTCCAAACAGCGTTTTATTAATTAAACTCGCGATTCACAATAGCACCTTAACTATTCATCAAATTTTGGCCTCCAAACAGTTAAAACGCGATTCGTAATAGCACTTTAGCTTAGTTTGAGAAATCCGTCAAAACTAGGCCTAGTTTGGAAAATATGAGGCAAAAGAGGCTTAGTTTGGGAAAAGCCCCCATTACTCCACTAAAAAATTAATTAATTAAATAAATAACATTGTGCAAAGTATACATATTTTCCTTATTTTGTTGGGAGAGAATACTTTGTTTGATGTGTAGTTTACTCTTTTGACATTTAGAAATTATATGAGTTATGCCTTTATTTCACAAATTACTTGAGTTATATGTTTATTTTCAAATGATAAGTGCAGTTTGATATGTAAATAAGTTAAATTTAAACACAATCTTAAACTTATTAAGTTTTCAAATTAAATTTGAACAACTCACTACTCGACTCGATAAGTTTATATGCATTATAACAACTTAAGTTACTCGTGTTCAGCTAATTAAAAACTTGTTTAAAATTGACTTGTTAAGTAAACAAGTCAAATTTAAGAATATTTTGAAATTCGTTAAATTTTCGAGCCAAACTTAAAATGTCTTATTATTTGACTTAACTGATCTCAAGTTTTTATTTTTATTTTTATTTATTTTTTGTGTAGATATGTAGGATATTTTAGGTCAGTTTATACTTTTTTTTAGCTATATAAGATATTCAGTTTGCGCACACTAAACTAAGTTTGGTCTTGTTAGATAATGCCTCAATGGGACCACATAATTAAATGTGGTGTTATCATTTATAAGAAGCCTACAATTTAAGTGATTCAATTTCGTTAATAGGCTTAAGGGTATATGTGTTATGGACCTAATGTGTAGATACTAGTTGTATAATTTCTATTTCTATGAGGGGCAGAAATAGAAATTAAAACATATTGGTTAAAGTTGGTTTTCATTACCTTTCAGTTTTAAAACCAATAATGGTTAATTTATTGGTTTTCATTACCTTTCAGTTTTAAAACCAATAATGATTAATTTATTGGTTTTCATTACTTTTCAGTTTTAAAACCAATAATGGTTAATTTATTGGTTTTCATTACCTTTCAGTTTTAAAACCAATAATGATTAATTTATTGGTTTTCATTACCTTTCAATTATGAAAACCAATTACAACCTTTAAAAGGTTATGGTCCCTATTCCTTCCAAAGGTGGAAAATAAAAACACTGTTTGTTTTTCTAAATCCTCTCAAGGAGAAACATAAGGCACCAAAGGGATTCGTCTGGGTTCGTATATATAGAGGATATTTTGAGGGTAAGGTTAAATTTATTATTAAATAAATGACTAAAGGGTTGTTTGGCATAGACTATATAATCCATCTTTTTATCTTTTTTCCATCACATCATCTCTCTATTTTTCTGCACATCTTTTCGTAAAAAGATAAAAAGTGCACTTTTTTAGGACACCCCAAACCAACCCTAAATTTTATAAAATAAGTAGAAATTATAATATTAAAAGGAGAAAATTAGGATACATCTCAAAGGTATCCGTTGTTTTTAGGATTGAGTAAGGAATTCGTAAAATTCATAATTTAATTCAGTCTAATTTAATTCAGTAAGTTTGGATTAGTTTTTTAAATTCGTAGTTCGGTTTAGATTGAAAAATTAAAAAATCGTAGTTCACGGATTGATTCCGGATTGAACTCCATGGTTCCGGATTGGAACCAATCCGAACCGTATACAAATAGTCTATCTTTTTAGTATACACCCTTTTACATAGTATCTTCTCTTATTTCATATAAAACTTAAATACAAACCTAAACTTGCATAGTATCTTCTTTTATTAATTTTGTTTGCTAAAAACTAAAATCCAAACCTAAACTCGCATAATATTTTCTTTTATTATACTTTTGTTTTCTTCTTTTTAGTATTAATTTGTAATGGTCTAAATACTTATGGTGTAACCAGTTTTCTTATAGTTATTTAAATTTTAGAACAGTATATTACTATTATGAAAAGACATGTCGCTATTGTGAAACTAATATGGTGCTATATTTATATTTTTATGAAATTAAAGTGTTATATATATTTTTTTGTTATTTAATTATGTAAATCTATGGTCTTAAACCGATCTAATCCGTATTTAAATGAATTGGTTCGGATTGGTTCCACGGTTTAAATAGATTAGATTGATTCTAATTTTTCATGAACCAAAGATAACGGATTGGTCATGATTTTATCCAAACCCGATCCAATTCGAACTATGCTCACCCCTAATTGGATTAACCATTGTCTTGCCCTTTTGGTGAAAAGGAAACAACCAAGATATCTGTGTAGTTGTTAGTTTTCTAAAATACTACTAAAATTTAATTTGGTAAAACTAGACATTATAAAAAATAATTTTTAAAATTTTTAAACATTACTTTTGTATAAATAAGAAAATAATATAAAAAGGATGAATGCTTTGAAATTTTCATTATGTGGTTCATTCATCTATTAAGAATGAAAGTAAATTTTGAGAATTTTAAATACTAGTGTTTATTTCTGTTAAATTAATTTTATTTTTTTAAAAAAATATTTTGAAAACATAACCAAACAGAGTGATTATTTCATTTTAATTTTTTTATTAAATATATTTAATATTAGTCTAGTTGTACAGGTATCATCGATATCTTTTTAATAGTATTAATTCTATAAAAATTGGATTAACATTTAAAAAACTATATATGTTTTATCAAAAAAATAAATAAAAAGTAAAACAAAAAAAAATGTAGAGAGAGATGTAGGTATACAAGTGTGTGTTGTGTGAAGTGTATGCAAGGTAGAGAGAGAGAAACGTATACATATAAAAAAGTGTGCATGAGGCGAGAGTAGTGTGAGTGGTGAGGACAAAATGGTAAATGTAACTCTAAATTTCACCCTTATCATTTGTTGTGTAATTTTAGATAGCGTCCCACCAAATGGTAAATATATTTTTTCTTTTTTTCACTATTTTGTGTAATTTTCCTAATAATAAAGCTTTCATATTTGAAATTGATAAGATTTGACATGTTATGTGGCTATTTTTTTTTTCCAGTGAAATTTTTGTTGAATTTGAAAGTATTTCACAAGTCAGACAAGATTACGATAAAAAATTATCAGGTATTGGTGATATGTATGTCTAACAAAAGGAAGAAAATGACCAGATTAAATTTATATCAGAAATTCAAAACTCATAAAATGTTGGCAGCAATTAATTTAGATAAGAGTCTTCTTCTTTTTTTTGGCCCAAAAATAGGAGGTGCATTGAAAATTCCTAATAGCATTAAACTCCTCATTGACTACAAAATAATCTCAAAAACGTATATTGTCACGACCCAAACCCGGCCCTATGGGTTTAGCACCGTAACCGGCCAGTAATCTAAGATTACCGAAGGCCTGCAGAACAGTAATACAGTAAAACAGAGTACAGGGCCTGGCGGAAGCCAAAACAGTAATTAAACAATGTCCAATGAGCTGTGGCAGTCTGTATGCCAAAAAGATTTTTCATGCATTTATACATACAGTACAGTCTATACAAAATTTACAGTCACACAGTACAGGGACCTAATCCCTTTATAACAGTACAGTTAGCAACTGACAGTCTATACAGTAATCCAAGCAGTATGGAGACAGACGGGGGAAACAAACAAAACACCCCAAAGCCATAGCATGGCAACTCGGAACCTCGCAGTGAGGCACAAAGGCTGGATGCACAACACAGTGCGATGGAAGGTGAATTCACAAAACAGTTCGATGCAAGGTGCACAAGACAATATGATTCAAGGTGAATGCACAAAACAGTGCAATACAAAGTACACATGACAATGCGAACTCAAGGTGCACAAAACAGTGTGATGCAAGGTGAATGCACAAAATAGTGCGATGCAAGATTGTAGACACCCCATTTTTTACAGTCCTCAAGACTTGGACGTCATTGTTTGTGCACTCGATGATTGTGACTATTTGTGCTCGTTTTGGTGC